TTCTTTTTTACTAATTATTTAAAAACAATAATAAGGTGATACTGTAGCTTCAGTGGTATTGAGATAGGATCCCAGTTTCCATCTGCTAAATGTGTTTTTCAAAACAAATGATAAAAAAAACAAAAATCTAATTATTACAGCTGAATTTAACCAGTTTTTCTCAAGTTCCAATTCTGGTTTTAGGTTAAAAATATGAAAAATTCCTAAATTATGAATCGATATTGAGCTTATATTCCAAATAATAGCTTTATTTGATCTATCAGATATTTATTTAGCTACAATTTTTTTTGTTGCTTTTTTGCTTTGCTAAGGGAATTTTTTTAAAGGATAATCCAAATGAACACTTTCAAGCCAAAGACATGTGATTTTAATTAACTAATTTAATGGTCATTTAAATTCATGCAGCTCTCTTAATTGAATCCCTTGCCTGTTTTTTTTTTTGTTTGTTTGTTTTTTTTTTTACTCCAGTATGTTTTCATGGGGCATGAAAACATGCTGGCCCCCCTCTGGCCACCTGGAACATTTGGTTTAGAACCGCCACTGGCTGCAGCAGCAGCAACCACGGAAAAACTATAAATCAGAGCTTTTTTCTAATCAAATCACTATAATGATAAATGCTTTTTGGCCTAATGAAGACAAGCAAGAACAAGCCTTCTCTAAAAACAGCTGATCAGGAACCCTGCAAACTGAGCACTTCGGTGACATTTAAACAGTCGGAGGATTTCCTAGAATGAGCCGCTGTATTTAAAGATCATCCTGCATGTTCTTCATGTGTCTGGTACGGAGACTATGGGGTAAAAACACAGAGAAAAATTATTTATAAGCAAATTCTAAAGTTCCTGCAAACATAAAAAAAATGCTGAGAAGAAAAAACTGCAACAAAATTAGGATTGGGCATCGAGAATCGATTAATTAGAACCAGTTCTAACCTTTTATTCCTTCAGGAATTATTTACATCTTTTAATTTCAGGTTTCTAGTTTCAAAGCCTAGTCCTCCGGCTGGAAACATAAGCTGCCTAATATCAGGGAGGAAGAATCCACAGGGGCGTGAACAACCATCTTTTGTGCTGAAGGTTTGGCTTAAAGGAAGTAGGGGCAGGAATTGTGAAAGAACCCACATGTGTGTCCAGTTTCTTAAAGCTAGTTTGTGATGAAGCATTAATTATTAAGTATTAAATCTATGGGAAATATATTCCAGGACATTACTTTTTTCTTTAAATGTTTTCTCTGTACTATATACACTCTTTCTATATTGTCTGTTGTATTTTTATTATTAATGGCATCTTGCTTTAACTCCTTGTACTCTATACAAGCTACTGGAACCAGAATTTCCCTGAAGGAGTGATCCCAAGGGATAAATAAAGTTGAGTCTAAGTGCAAGTTTAATTAGAAACTAAAATTAACAATCCCACCAACGAACTGAGAGCCTCGTCTTTGCAGCGTGTTGTACAAAGGTAGGTTCCCAAAGGGAATCTGTTCCACCTATAAATTCATAGCAAAGCTTCTTCAGGGAAATCAGAGCCTTTTTTATAAAATCCTCCTACTTTATGTCTTAACAGATACCTGCCTTGTTTCTTAAAGGTTATGGATAGAATGGAGAGCACTTCAATTCAAAAATACTTTGTTAATCCCAAAGGGAATCTGTTCCACCTATCACTTCATAGCCAAGCCTCTTCAGGGAAATCAG